TAGAAAGAGACATCATTAGAAACAAAATACTAGTTAAGTTAGGGAGAGGAACATCGCTAGCATTTTCAAGAACAATGATATTCTAGAAAGACACATATGAATGACTGAGGTGGGGTTTCTCTTGACTAGGTGATAGCAACCTCCTCAAGCTAGATTGGGCCAAAGCATGAAGAGATACTATGGTGATGATGAAGGTGCGGAAGCTATGGAGGATAAGGGGTAAGGCACGACCTTTGGTGTTTTGGTGGTGATGGAGTGGTGTTTGATGGTTCTCTTGAGAGGTTAGGCCAACTCTAGAGGAAGGTAGCTAGAGGAGACCACATGGGATGTTCTAGCCTTTAGTGACCTAAGATGAGTAGTATGACACAAAAATGACAGTATAACTTTACTCAAATTCAAAGATAATTACGAGGAAGGAGACACCTCTATTTATAAGCTAAGGGTGTCTCTTAAAATCCTAAAAAGCTAAACTTTGCATGCCTTTCCATCCAAGCTATTCTTGGCCGAAAATGAGGTCCTCTAAGGAGTGGACAAGTGTCTACAAATCCTCTCTAATGAGGGAAGAACATGTGTCACTAACCTTTAGAAATCCTCTCCATTTCTAGAGTGTTACGTGGCCACTACTAAAACAAAATCCTCTCCAATGGATGCATGACACATGGCACATACTTTCCACATGCTTTGGATGTCCAACTAAGGAAAACCCCTACACTAATTAGGCCTTAATACAAGCCTTAAACAAACCTACACTACTTGGCCAAAATACATGGCCTAAATAAACCTACACTACTCTTCAACCTCCAGATGGCCTATGAGAAAGAGCTTTGCTTCACCTTGAATAGATGACTCTAGCTTCTTCTTGAAAGTGCTTAGGCCATGGCTAGGGTATGTCATCACTAGGTATGTGGGTATGTATAAAACACGTGGATTGAGGCTGGAAATTAGGAAAAAAGAACATAGTGAGGTACTTGATCATTAACGACAAATAATGACATTCGATTAATGAGATAATAGTCAATAGAGCATTGCCTAAAAAACGATGTGAAACATGACATTCGATGAAGTTCATTTGTAAATATTATCAAGAAAAGATTGATGAATGTGTTTACCTAACTAAACTTACAATTCAACATAGAGCTTTTTAAACTTTGTTCCCGTTTCTACAATTTTGTCAACTTGGGATATCCTAGTTGTGCTTGAATCATCATTGGAGAAGCTACAGATGCTCACTGAGTTGTTGACGGAGAGAGATAGTAATTGCAATGCGACTTACATTTGATGCCAATGTCTAATTTGATATTTGATCCTATAAGGTAGAATTATATGGTGAAGTTAATGTCATGAGATTTAGGCACATAAAGATCCAAGCCAATGGTAAGAGATGAAGGGGGTTGGGTAGTACCTTTACCACGTGCTTTTGTTTGTAAACTATTGGTAGCAATGATGGAAGGAAAATTTTTAATAGTAAGGGGTGTGAAAAGAGAATAATTATCAAATATATTATCAGTTGTGCTAGAGTCAATGATCCAAGGACCAAGGGAAGGAGATTGAGAGAGATAAGTAGGAGAATTACTGGTGTGTGCCACCAAAGTAGTGTTACTAGTAGATTGATGAGTTTCACACATTTGAGGAAGTCCTCACATGTTGTTAGAGTTGCGAGGCTTGTCAACTGTTCTTTTAGAATTTTTTTTTTCCTATTAAAATATGGGAAAATAATAATAAAATATTTGCAAGAGACAAACTCAGATTGAACAATCAAACAAAATCTGATGTAGCTGTAACTATTTGTACTGTCTGGCTAGAAGAGGCCAACATGGCGATGGGTGGCTAGAAGTCAGGACCACTGCACGACAATGGTGGTGGGTTTTCAAATAGAAAAGATGAACATGACGGTGTGTTTTGCACTGTTCTATTCTGTGTTAGGATGGTTGTGTAAGTTGGTTTTAAGTAAGTCTGGCCCTTTAGTCATGTGAGCAAAAGGAGGGAGGTCGTTGGACATGCTACCGGAATAGAGAGCAAACCTGGAAAAAGGTTCTCAAAAAGGTCTTTCCACTTGAGAAACTGGGTCCATCATGCCAACACGGTTTACAAAAGGTTCTGGATACCATGATAAACTATAGAAAATAGAGAGACATTGAACTGAAATCATGTGTTTGAGACGACTCAAGTGCTTTTCTATGTTGAGAAAATGGAATCAATACAATATTAGAGGAAAAATGATATCCTCTAATGATAAGGATACGATATAGGAATAAATAAAACTTTCTAATGATACATATATAGTATAGATACTTATGATTCTAAAATATTGTAAAAGATATTCATGATTATAAAAGATTTCTGCTATATATATCTAATTATAACATACATGAATTGTTAGGTTCCTGGGTTTGAAACCTAACTCAGACAATCACTCACACCCACACAGCAAGCAAAAGAACAATGAAAGAATGGGCTACTGTTATTGATAATGATAGAATGTACACAGATAGCGCTAATGGAGGCCTAATCCCCCTCTTAGCCCTAACGGAGGCCTAATCCCCCTCACAAGGTCCAAGACCTGTCTATACAAAAGAATACTCAAAGTTGTCCTCTCTACCAAACCCCCCTTGCCTTCTTATAGAGGCAACCCACTTCTAACTACCCAACGCAATTAATTCCTAAACTGTTTTCTCTCCCCTGCATCTATTACCCATTATAACCTCTCATATTAGATCCTATCATTACACCCCGCTGTAGGACAACCTTTTCCTCAAGGTTGGAATCGTGAAATTTGATCTCCTAGCTCCTCTTCATCATCGTGTAATCATATGAAGGGAACCCTCTGGCAACTGCTCTCCAATTCAGGTCTAGAGGTTTGGGTGGTGACAATTCCTCCTCTAATGACTTCCATTCTTCTTGGATTTTATTAGCTTCCAGCATTTTGGTCACCTCTTTTCCAGAATCAGACGCCCTGACGAAATGGTCTTCGATGTCTTTCAATGCTTCAAACAACTCTTTCCCCTTTGCGGGTGTATCAAAAACGGCAAGGCCCTTTTTTTGTTCGATGGTCCACCTCTTCACAGAATCCATCCTTCTCTCCCGGGCATTGATTCTTCCATCCACCTTTCCCTCCCCAACCTTCATTCTAATTGTAAGACTGTTCGACCAATGACTGGGAGACCGTTTTGACTGTAAGATCGTTCGGCCTTTGACTGTAACTTTAAGACCGTTCGGGTCCAACAGTCCTCTTCCGTGCGAATCTGACAGTCCTCTCCTGTTTGGATCCGGCAGATTCCGGGTTTTCAGTATTGACCCCACACTCTCTGCGGCTCCTAATCTGCCTGGGTGATTTGCCTCGGACCGCTCGGCGACTCCCGATCTACCTAGGAGATTGGCCTCGGACCGCTCGGCGACTCTCAATCTGCCTGGGTGATTAGCCTCAGACCGTTCGGCGACTCCCGATCGGCCTGGGTTATAGCGATTGGCTTCGGACCGCTCGACAACTCTCGATCGACCTGAGTTATAGCGATTGGCCTCGGATAGTGTCACCTCTCCGCTTGGTCGTCCCCAAGACGACTGGTCTTCAATCCCGCTCCCGTTCCCCACCTTTGCGCCTTCCTGGAACTCCTCAACATCCCTTGTGATCTGCATCGCCACCATCAATTCTTGCAGGTCATGTGGTCAGACTTGATTCCGGATGTCCTCTTGCAATCCCGCAAGAAAATATCCTAACAGCTACTCGTCCGACACCCTCTTCGTTCGACCCGCCCATATCTTGAAGTATTGTACAAACTCATCCACCGTCCTCGTCTGTTTCGATGCCGCCAAACGCTCAACAATGATTCCAAACCTTACCACCAACACATCCTTCAATCCTGCCCAAGAACGGTTCTTGGCCTTCTCCCTCTAGAATCGGAATCAGTACCCCGCGCTACCCTCCATACTTATGTATGATAATCGGACATTCTCGTCCTTCGATACCCCTTGTAACTCGAATAATTTCCCTGCGCAATTGATCTAGTTCAGCGAATCGATCCCCTCGAAGATGGGCAGCTCCACTCGTTTCCGCCCACTATTTTGCCCCTCGGTACGTTCGAATTCCCTGCTTCCTTCTTCGTCTTCTCGCCTCGCCCTCCGATGTTCGTTGACGGACGCCTGACTTCCGTCCGATAGCCCTTCCTGGTCGCGAGTCCTTCCCCCCAAGATTCGCATGACTTCTTGCACATCTTTCCTAATCGCCGCCGAATCTTGGCGCAACGCTGCTGTCTCGGCCTTCATTCTATCCACCGCGATTTCCACCGTCACTATCTGACCCTCCATTACATTCAATCTTCCGTTGATTCTGTCCTCCATTTTTCCCCCAATTCGGACCAATTGTTAGGTTCCTGGGTTTGAAACCTAACTCAGACAATCACTCACACCCTCATAGCAAGCAAAAGAACAATGGAAAAATGGGCTATTGTTATTGATACTGATAGAATGTGCACAGATAGCGCTAATGGAGGCCTAATCCCCCTCTTAGCCCTAACGGAGGCCTAATCCCCCTCACAAGGTCCAAGACCTGTCTATACAAAAGAATACTCAAAGTTGTCCTCTCTACCAAACCCCCCTTGCCTTCTTATAGAGGCAACCCACGTCCATTGCTTTGGAGATGTAAGGTGTTACCAAATAATGATGTCAATCCTATTTTCTGCAAAAATAGAACACGAGAGGAAATTCTTTTCTTCTACTTATTTTATTGTAGGTATAGAAAATTTGTGAGACTACGTAAGTTATTGAGAGATCAAACCATCATACTATTTTGTTTAAGATAAAATTGTTCAATCATCTTTGCTTCGTTTATTTGGTCTTAAGACTGGCATACTTGTTATTTTTTATCGAGCACTATTCATTTTTACTATTTTTTTACATCCAATACAATGTGGTTTAACATTGATTTGAAAAGTAGATAACTGTTTTTTTTTAACATATATTGGTATAGTCTGCATCTACATATGATCATTTGTTGATTTACTGGTTTTTCAGTAATTATCCACCTTTTAAGCTGTCAGGTATTATGACAACCAGGAGCATCGGAAAGAACTGGGTGACATTGACATTGGGAAATATGTTGCTGGTGGTATTGTTGTTTATAATCTGGATACGAAGCAAATTAAATGGACTGCAGATCTTGATCTGAGTACAGATACTTCAAGCTTCAGAGCCTACATATATTCTTCCCCAACTGTTGTAGATTTGGATGGTGATGGGAATCTTGACATTCTCGTTGGAACCTCGTATGGCATGTTTTATGTATTGGATCATCATGGTAATGTCTAGAGATTCCTTTCGTAGTATTCTCTTTAGTTAGTTTTAAATGGTTTGTCAGGTTTTGATGTTGCTTCATGGATTTCTTTTTTTGGTAGTCATGTCTTAGTTCTTCCCTTAAAAGATTTTTACCATATTTACAGACCTATTTTTCTGCTATATTTTAGTCCTCCCTTGAAAGATGTGTATCAATTTTACAAACCATTTTTTTCCTGGTGTTTTATGCTGTTTCCCTACTGAATGGTGTGTAGCAATACAAGGTTGGACTTGGACATGTTTTCTGTCATGAGTCATCAGATTGGTGGACTAAATGTATTTAATTTTCTGCTTTAATTTTCATGGATTGCAAGTTGTTCTTTTAGGAGCCTTGTTACCTTTTTGTCAAAACTCAAAATTCTGTTACAAGTATACATTGGTAAATTAAATGGTAGTTGTTTCTCTCAAACAGGTAAGGTTAGAGAAAAGTTTCCTCTTGAGATGGCCGAGATTCAAGGATCTGTTGTTGCAGCTGATGTCAATGATGATGGGAAAATTGAGCTAGTTGGTGCTGATGCACATGGAAACATTGCTGTATGGACTCCAAAAGGAGATTTAGTCTGGGAAAAACATCTGAAGAGTCTTATTCCGCAGGTAACTTGCTATCTCAATTTTCCATAGCTTTTTAATGAATGTTGCATGATTTTATGCGATGTATGTTGTCAGTATTTATTCTTGTTTCCAGAGCAATTAATATCTTGGATATAGGATTTTCAAAATGGTTCGGACAGAATGAGCATAGACTGTTATTGTATAGGTCAAAATGATGCATATTGACTTTTAAAGGTGAAAGGAAGAAAAAACTAAAAGGGGAAGTGGATGTATTACTCCAGTTAAATGTTTGTGGGTTGCTTCCTTTTTTTAGCATACTATAAATTGTTATAAACTTGATAGTTACAGTCTCCATGTAGTAAGGGGGGTGGTTGGTTGGGATGGAAGACTAGAAGGCTGGAACTTTTGTTTCTAAAAACTTGTTTTATATACTTGTTTTTTTTTTTAGTATAGACTTCATCATTTGTTAATCTCTGTCTGCCTGTATCATTATTACTTTTGAACAATGTTGAAGAATGATGAAGGACTAGAGTAAGAGTAAGGTCCTGTTTGGACAGACTTCTCCGTAAAGACATCTAAGAGAAACACAACAACTAGAAATGAAATGAGTTTTTGCATAAGTTAAAATTAGCTTATGCACAAGGTAAGAAATACAAATTAGAGAAGTCATATGAGAGAATTTCTATAAATTAGTTTATATATAAGCTAATTTTTAGTTTTAGTGAAACTTTATCTTTTTTCTTATTTCTCTCTCCTAATAGTCTTTTTGAAGAAGGATGTTCGAACATGATATAAATCTGATAATGCTTTTAGAGAGTAAATGACTTTTTTTTTAGGCCAAAATCATTTTGGCATGTTGCAGAATTAACTCTTCTATTACAATATTCTCAATGTCTTCATCTTCTATCCTCTCTTAATCTTCCAATACAACCACAAGAATGCCTAAAGTCAAACGGAGCCCCTTTTTGACCAGTCCTGTTAATGAATGATGAAGAACTATAGTTTTCAAGTTCAAGGAAAGATTAAATCTAGGAATGTTTTCAGTGAGTAGATGACTTTATTGGAGGCCACAATCATTCTAACACTTTGCTGCATGGAGTCTTCTATTACTGCACTCTCAATCTCTTCATCCTAAGCCCTCAGTATGTTCCAAAAGCTGCACATCACCTAGGAGTTGAGGCCATTGGTTATTTATATACTGGTTCCTCTCTTATACATCGTGGTGCCTTTTAAGGACAAACCTATGATAGATCCTCCAAAATAGGTATTAAGCCAAAAGTTAAAGAATAACAAAATGTTACTATTAGTGCCAAATATTAAAGAAAGTTTGAAAAATCTCATTTCCCAAAGAACCCTCATGTGGGCAAAAATCCAGTTAAAAAATAAAACTGATTTATTATTCTCAATCATAAAAAATACATTCTGATACTCTCTATTTGTAATAATCTAATTCTCCTAAAGAGGGAAATAGGGAAACTAGGAAAGTAAAATAAAATAAAAGATTATATATCTATTTCCTCTAATTAGGAAGATTCTAAAGATATTATCTCAAATTACAACACTCTCCCTCAAAGCTGGATCATACAAGATTGTATGAACCAAGCTTGGAATAGACAAACCCAATCAGAGATAATGTCAATAAACCAAATTGCACACACAAACAAATATAACACAAGAGACTCCTCAGCATCATATGGAGAATAATGGACAACAATGGACAACCATGAACTTGCACCATGAAACTTCAGCTTGGACAACAATGGACAAGAGCGAACTAGCACCATGAAACTGACAACAATAGACAAGAGAGATTTCCATTAACAATGGATGATGACTTGCAGCAGCAAACTGCAAGAATGGATGAAGGCATGTAGTGGTGAATAGCAACAAACTACAGGGACTAGATTGCCATCAATAATGGCGAACAACAACAAAGCTTCAAGAACTTGATTTCCATGAGTAACATATGGGAGGCCTTCAAAGACTAACAGTAATGAACCTTTAGGGACTTAACTTCCCTAACAACAACGAACCTTCAAGGACTTAACTGTCCTGAACAACAACAAACCTTCAGGGACTTAACTGCCCTGAACAACAACAAACCTTCAAGGACTTAACTGCCCTAACAACAGCAAACCTGCAGAAACTGAACTTCCCTGTAGCGGCTAACAGCAACAATCCTGTAGGGACTTAACCACCCTACAGCGGCTAAAACAGCAACAAACTTGCAGGGTCTACACTACCCTACAGCGGCTGAAACTTGTCTTCCCCTCACGATTGAACACACATCAATGACGTGAAGGTGGAAGAACGAGTGAGAATCGATCCGTACTTGGGGACAAATCTGAAACCCCTAACATCGAACGAGTCAAATCAGCGGGTGGTCTCATAGAACAACTCTCAGTGAGCTGTTACATGGCAGAAAGAACTGACGCAGTGGTGTCGTGAGTGGACGTTTGTGGTCCTCAAGATTCTGAATAGAATGATGGTGGAGACAGGCTTGGCCACAGGTGCCGGTGCATTTGGTGGCACAAGCGGCGAAGACGACGACAAGATGGACCGCCATTGTATATCAGTGAAACAAAGGGAAGAAGAAACCCATTGGGTGTGGTAGAGAACCCTTCACATTGGTGAAGGCAGAGAGCCCTTCTCAATGGAGAAGAAGATGATGGAAGCGAGAGAAGTAGTACTTGGAGCTGGCGCATCAGCGGCATCAGCTGCGGAGACGAAGCACAGTTGCTCGAGAAACAGAAGCGAATTTAGTGAGAGTTGAAAATAAGACTGATTTATTTTTCTCAATCATAAAAAATACATTCTGATACTCTCTATTTGTAATAATCTAATTCTCCTAAAAAGGGAAATATGGAAACTAGGAAAGTAAAATAAAATAAAAGATTATATATCTATTTCCTCTAATTAGGAAGATTCTAAAGATATTATCTCAAATTACAACAAATCCTATATCCAAGAATTGTAGGAACACTTGTTTATTTATGACATGCGATGTGAGACCAAACATTGGTTTACAGTTAGCGTGGTAAGTGACTTTATGCATTGTCCAAGAGAAAGACACTTGTAAACCATTGATAAAATTCTTTTGTATTTGAAGTTTGGGGCTATTGTGTAGGAAAAGAGAGACTTTGACCTTGAATATGTATATTGAGGTAGACTATGCAAGTTCAATCTACATTTGGATGTATATGTTTTTTGGAGAAAGTTTAGCAACCTAGAGAAGCAAAAAATAGGATATAGTATATTATTGTGCACAAGCTGAATTTTGAGCCTGTGCTCAAGGTGTGTGAACGACACTGGGTGATGATCATACTTGATGGCCTTGAAAGAAAGTTTAGCATCCCAATGCAATTTAGCCATGAGCATTTTCCATAATCCAAATATATTGAAATTGACAAGTACTTCATCAAAGACAATTTGCTACCTTTGCTATTTTAGATAGATGTTTTCACTAAAGGGTTTCCTCAGCTGATTCCAAGATCTTGGAGACAAGTTAAGGATGATCGATAGTTATTTACTTAGAGGGAGATTGATGCAAAATAGCATATTATTAGGATACAGATATTCTCAATATCTCCATAGTAATTATGGAAGAAAATATCTTTGGAATCCTTCTATTCATTTGAACATTTTTATTTCCTATTTCAAGTTTTGATTATTGCAAATAGAGATAATAAGAATGTAATTGGTGTGATTGTTATCAATAGAATATTTCTTTATTTTTTAAAAAAATGTTGTGAAGTCCTACATTGTTTGCCTCAAGTCATGGAGTGCTTGGATAACTTCATTTAATGCTGATTGGTTTTAAGCAAAATCTAACATTGTATCAAAGCCTATAACTCATCCTGGTAATCTTTTGGTTCAGCAAATATTTGTGGGAAGGAAGTGTTGGGAAGTCCGACATCACTTGCCTCAAGTCTTAGAGTTTGTGCAACTTCAGTTTATGCCAATTGATTTTAAGCTGAAATTTAACAGCTTCCATGTTAATAAAACAACTTTCTGTTGGGATGATACATTATAGAATACTCATGTGATTGTCACTTTATGTGGGGCAGTTGCACTTTAAACTTAATTTAGATATGTTCCTATGAACCTATTAATTCTTTCTGGGATTGCTTAAGTTGTTGAGATGTTTCACACACTTTCCACTCATTCACCTTTGCATTAGAAACCATTTAGTTGGTTCCTGTGTCTAAAATTCGATTGACAGTGTCTCATTTTTCATAGGGTCCAACTGTTGGTGACATTGATGGGGATGGCCATACTGAGCTTGTTGTGCCAACACTATCTGGGAAGATTCATGTTCTGGATGGAAGAGACGGGTCATCTATAGGGCGGTATCCATATCCAACTCATGGAAGAATAATGAATCAAATTCTTCTAGTTGATTTAAATAAACCCAAAGAGAAAAAGAAGGGGTTAACTATTGTTACCACGTCATTTGATGGATATTTGTATCTCATTGATGGACCTACTGGATGTGCTGATGTTGTTGACATTGGTGAAACTTCGTAAGAGATTCTTTATAACCCGTGTCTTGGATATGCTTTCTGTCACACTTTCTTCAATGTTAAGTCTTTTTTTGCTACAGGTATAGCATGGTCTTGGCAGACAATGTTGATGGTGGGGATGATCTTGATCTAATTGTCACAACTATGAATGGCAATGTCTTTTGCTTCTCAACTCCATCTCCTCATCATCCCCTAAAGGCACGATATGTTTGATTTGATCATTGAAACGATTTCAGTTTTGGTACTAAATGGCTTTGTACGTTATTTCAGGCATGGAGATTGCCTAGTCAAGGAAGAAACAACGTTGCAAATCTGTACAATCGTGAAGGTATATATGTTACCCATCCTTATAGGGCATTCCGTGATGAGGAAGGCAAAAGCTTTTGGGTGGAAATTGAGATTGTAGATAATTACAGATACCCATCTGGGCATCAAGGACCATACAAAGTCACTGTAAGTTCCAAAACAAATTACTTCATTTCTTGAGTTTACTGATTCACTGCGAGGCACCCAATTTATGTGTCATTGTTCTTTCATGTTGTGTAAATTCACTAGACATCCTTGCTAGTACCTGGGAATTACCAAGGCGAGAGAACAATAAAGTTGAACAATACCTATGATCTACCTGGGAAATATCGGATTAAGCTGCCAACTGTGTCGGTAAGGACCACGGGAACAGTTTTAGTTGAGATGGTTGACAGAAATGGACTGTATTTCTCTGATGATTTCTCCCTTACATTCCATATGCACTACTATAAACTGTTGAAGTGGCTTCTTGTACTTCCAATGCTTGGGATGTTTGGTGTGCTTGTAATCTTTCGCCCACAAGACTCAATGCCATTACCGTCATTTTCGAGGAACATTGATTAATGATGATTACTTTATTTCATATCATAGGCATCATTCAATTCAGAAAATGTGAATATTTTATGTCAAATTGAGTAGAAACTCTTATGGTGTATGCCTTTGGTGCTGCCCTGAACTTTGATCAGAGTTGAAGCGGGTTCTTTTCGAGCTGAAGAGTTCTGTGAAGTTGAGGTTACTTTAGAGATAGTTGAAGATTGCAAGAGTGAATTATATTTTAATGTTGATGTTGTAGTGTAGTGTAATCTGATACCTAAATGTTTAACTGAGCTACATACATTTGTTTTCCATCTTTGAAGCAAAATAGATATTTATAAGTAATACACAGTTTTCTCCCAGATTGACTTTTCCTTTTTTGTTTTATTTTGGGTGTGCCAATTCGTTATATCGGCTCAGTTGAGTTGGAAATTATCTAATAAAATGTTATACTTTATCATCTGGTAATTGCACTCTCATTCAAATTTACAGTAACTGTCATATGATTCTTTTTATCGTCTAATAATAGTAAATATTTCATTTATACTGGTATGCAATCTGAATGAAACAAAAGATTAGATATCACGCAATTTTTATAACTACTATCAAGAAATAATCTATATTTCTTAATTATATTCATTGGCGTCTTGGGGTTTTGATATTTGGTTATTTTATTTAAAAAAGGAGAATAAGTCTGACCCGTTGTGGCATATTAGGTCATGGTTTGAATAAGAATCTTAGGGAACATTTAGATATATTGTGTTGTAGATATTGTTGATATTGTTTTTTAATATTGTTTATTTATCATATTTAAGTTTGGTGATTATAGATACTTGTATCATTTTTTATTATAATGTTTTAAATATAAGAGAGATTTATCTTATATCTAGGTTTATTATATTTAATATGGTATTTAGAGTCTAAAGCTTTTGTCAATATTTGAATTTTGAATTTATTAGGAGATATTTTATTGATTCTTGTCATAGAACACCAATTTTATAAAAATTGAGATCTTTGTGGTAAGTTTTTATTAGTTCATCAATATGTTACATTATGACGTTTTTATTTCTGTTTTATTTTTGTGTTTTTCTATGATTTTCTTTGTTTATTTTATAGAAAGAATCAAATTCAGAAAAGATCGTGCTTTTTTTAAATAGGATAATATTATTTGGACAACGATCAATTGTCTTGAAGTTACCTCCTTCTTCCTTTTGAGGATTTATACTTGTTACCTCGATTGGATAACTTTGATCTTTTAAGATTTTTTTCTCACTTTTTTCATTGCATCTTTCGTATCTTTTCTATCTCCAGTGTGTTTAACCTCTCAGTCTTTATTAATTGTTTATATGCACTTGCTCATTGATAAGTTAAATGACACTAATTATATGACTTAGGTGTAAGACATAAAACTTTGGCTTAAGAGTCACATGATATCTTGATTATCTTACCAAACCAAAAGGTGACTTATATGACTTTCGGTGATTTTTCCCATTGAAAGAGAATTGATGTTCAATTATGTATTGTTCTTAAGAATACCATCCAATCTTCAGTAAAACAAATGTTTCGTGCCTACAACACATGCTTTAGAGTCTGGGAACAAGCCAAATTATTGTACACCAATGATATTGAATGTCTTTATGGTGTTTGTCATGATCTTTTGAATATTGTTGTTCCTTGAAATCAGAACCTTATGATTGATTATTTGCGTAAGATCCATGCCTTTTTTGGGAACAAGCCAAATTATTGTACACCAATGATATTGAATGTCTTTATGGTGTTTGTCATGATCTTTTGAATATTGTTGTTCCTTGAAATCAGAACCTTATGATTGATTATTTGCGTAAGATCCATGCCTTTTTTGGGAACAAGCCAAATTATTGTACACCAATGATATTGAATGTCTTTATGGTGTTTGTCATGATCTTTTGAATATTGTTGTTCCTTGAAATCAGAACCTTATGATTGATTATTTGCGTAAGATCCATGCCTTTTTTGGGAACAAGCCAAATTATTGTACACCAATGATATTGAATGTCTTTATGGTGTTTGTCATGATCTTTTGAATATTGTTGTTCCTTGAAATCAGAACCTTATGATTGATTATTTGCGTAAGATCCATGCCTTTTTTGGGAACAAGCCAAATTATTGTACACCAATGATATTGAATGTCTTTATGGTGTTTGTCATGATCTTTTGAATATTGTTGTTCCTTGAAATCAGAACCTTATGATTGATTATTTGCGTAAGATCCATGCCTTTTTTTTTTTATGAATTTAATGAGGTTTTACTTTATGCCTTTACTATAGCCCAAGAAATAGAACAACGATCAAAGTTTTTCATGGTATTGGCTTTACACAGACTTGATGATAAATATTCCCATGTCCGTGATCAGATTTTGGGTTCCCTTGATATATCCAATTTTACTTCTACTTGTTCCACCCTTTTGTGTGTGTCAAGTAAACCTATCAATAATACACTTGTTTCTACCTATAATTCCTTTGCTTTGGCATCTCAACATGATGATTGTTATTGTTCTTGCAAGTCAGGAAAAGGGTGTCACAAGTGTGACCATTGTGGCAAGCTAGGCCAAAAGATTAATAGGTGTTATGCATTACATGATCGTTGTCCTCACTTTTTTGTTGTTGCTTAGATTGATATGAATTCTTCTCCATCTAATATTATTAATCAATCTGCTATTTTTAATGAATTTCTAAAATGGTGTGAGGATTGTGAGCCCTCTAGTTCTACTTTTTATTTCACACACAAGTATGTGTTGGTCTGAGTCAATCTTCGTTTATTAGTCGTTGGGTTCTCAACTCAGGACCCACATATCACATTATTAGTAACAAATCTTTGTTTTTCTTTTTATCCTCTCAGGATAATTTACCTTTTTGTACAATGACTAATGAGTCTCTGGTTTTAGCTCATGGTATCGAGACTATTAGTCTTTTTCCTTTTCTGTATTTCTAATAATGTTCTTTATGTCCCTAGGTATCCTTTTAACTTATTATTCATTAGCTGTCTAACTCATTATCTTGATTGTGTTATTTCTTTTACCAAAACTTATGTTTGTTTATATACAAATAATACTAATCTTAGCTAAGAGCGACTACATTCTAAAGAATAATCATCTTAGTCATAAATGGTTGTTTTCTAAAGAATATTTGTTTTAATCATGAGTGGTTACATTACAAAGAATACCTATCTTAGTGGGGAGTAACTATGTAATTATATTCCAAAGAATAGTCGTCTTAGTTAGGAGTGATTGTATCTAAATAATATGTAAGTTTGGCTTTGAAACTTTTTTAAAAAAAATTCTCTTTCTTTAAATTCTTTTAGAAAAATTTAAATTTGTAAAACAAGATGTAATTAGATTTTTCGATCAAGATTGATAGTTATACAATTAAAAAGGATAAAGTAGAAGTAGAAAAACACAAGAGGATTTACAATGGTTAAAATCAACGACCCGTTTATCTATTCTTTGTTTTTTAACTTCATGAAAATTGGTTCCACTATCAATATAAGTTTGTACAATGGAACTTGCAACTACAAATTGAGCATAACAATAAACTCTCCATCAATTCTTGATCACAAAGAAAATATATGCCCTATCAACTCTTGACCAACCTTAATAGGATCTTAGCCTTGTCAAATCCTTGTCACCCAAGAGAATACATGTCTTATAAACTCTTATTACAACAACAACACACTTCAACAAAACAAGAAAGAGTTTACTAAAATTCAACATAAGCAATTATAAGGATTTTAGATTTTGAAACTGTTTATTATTGAAATCTTTAAAGTACTTTTGTGAGTATGAAACAACTATGTCAATCTCAATATAATTTGCCCACAATGATTGTTAAAGTTATTTGAAATATTAAGATTGACTCTTTATTTTTAGAGTTCGGAGAGCACTTGTTTAAAACAAGAACTAAAGCTTTTAATTGATTATATCAAGCATTTAATTGATTATTCTAATTAAATTTTGAAAAACAGTTAGAAATATTTCTATTTTAATCTATCAAGGATGGTGTTTGATTAATTAAATTTTTTCTTCATTTAATGCAATTATTTCATTTAATCAATTATGAAAGATTATAGTTATGAGAATATTGAAAACATTTAAACTACTCTTTAGGTTAATATATATTGTCAAAAGAGACAATCAGTTACACAATCATGAAACCTTTTAGGAACATTTTTTTTATCAATTATAAGAAAACTTAATCAATTATAAATGTAGAAAAACCTTTTAGACTTCGTTTTCACTTTATAAAAACATTTCCTTTCAATTTCATTTAGTATAGGTTGTGTGCTAAATTAAAAAGATATTGTGAATACAGGGTCAAACAATATTCAAAGAAAGTTAAAACTCTAAATTCAACATCATCATTCTTCAATCATAATCAAAACATTTTTACCAACAGGCTTAACTTGAAATTCAATAGAATACTCGTATTAGCCCAAAGTGATTACGTGCAAAAGAATACACATCTTAGCCATTATAATTTAAAGAGTATGTAAGAAGAATAGGAATGAATAAATCCTAACTATAGCCCTAATTGAATGAAATTAGATGACAAAAAATTTAAATAACTAAGAAAAGCAAGAAGAGAAGATGAGAAAAAAGCTTACCTAGGTCTTTCTTTCTTTGATTCAAGAAATTGTGTGAAAGATGTGGAAGATGTGGTTGTATTTATAACTAAGGCTTTGCACAAAAGGACAAAGGTAATTTGTAAAAGAAATATGTCTTTAATCCTTGAAATTACATTTGGAAGGATGCAAATCTAAGAGAAGAAAAAAAAATCCACTCAAACTTATTCTTTACATTAATTTTGTTACACTTTAACCCCTGAATAAATTCAAATGTTTTTCAAACAAAAAACATGACAAATATTTTTAGTGTATTCTCGTATCTCCGAAACTTTAGAAAAATAAAATACTATAAATCTTATTAGTGGTGAATTTTTCGATGAAATTACTTATGAAATTCAAAAACACTAAGAATTTTAGTTGAGATATTTGTATTAACTAAATTTATAATGGATATCAAATATAAAACAAAACTTTATCGCAAATTAAATAGATGTAAATCAAATGAATAATTTTCATTTAAGTTTTAAGTCTTCAAAAAATCAATGTAATTAGTTTATTAGGGACCTAAGTGTAATTATTAAAATTTGGCAAGGGAATAAACTACACTTATTAAAAATATTAAATGAATAATTTGTAAATAATGAAAAATAATTAAGGATTAAATTGTAATTATTGAAAACTATTTAAGGGTCAATTTATAATTTTAAGAGACTTTAGAAGTTTATATGCAATTATGAAAATATCTTTGGACTTAACAAAAC